AGCTCTTGACATCCAAAAATGACAGACATGCTCTGTTTTCAAATTCAGTACATGCTTCATTATTCGCTCGAAGTTATGCTTCTGCCAACCCTTGAGGGTTTTCTGGCACATCAGCATTTCACCTTTAAGGGGATCTACAACCCTACTGACCGTATGCGAATCAAGATCTGGAAAATAATCAGAGAACTGCTCTCTGAATTTGGTAAGATGTCTTATAATTGTATCCTTGAAGTCATCAAAAGTAATATTTTCTCATTCTTCCAAAAACAAAGCTAATTTGGAAAAGACAGCTATCTAGTTTTGTTTATCTTTCTGTCTTCAGTATGAAATCGTTGATCCGAACCCTGAAATTTTTTTTCTGGCTGAAATTATATTGATAATATTTCCTTGAAATTCTTTGTTCAATGCATTCACATACTCAGAAATATAGCTAAATATAAGAGATGTGCAACCCACGAAGAGTTTGTAAATTTTTCTGCGAGAACATGCTTTCGACCAACCATGAAAGTTTAAAGTTCGGTTTTGAGAGCCCACACTCGGTTCACAACAATTCCACGTGAGACCCACCTCATTTCTGTATGATAAAGTACTTCTGTATATTCAGCCTCGCCATCTTTACATAATTCACGTAGTAGTCGCATGTTTAGTGCGTGTCCTTTGACAACCTTGATAGCATCATTCATGACTTCCAGTGCAGGTTCCAAATGTTTCACGAGCAGTGTTTGATGATGGTTCTAGGACAATAACCCCCCCCGCCCGGACAAAAACCGCTTGAAGAGTACAGGTCTCACTCACCATCAAAACGGATATTTTTGGATATATATTGCCGATGAGAATCTAGTATATCAGAAGTCTTGTAAGCCATGAGGGAATTTGTAAAATCGAATAAAAGAAGAGGTGGTTTTCGAAGGTTGTATTTATGTGGAGTAGAAAAATTTGGCACAGAAGTTTTCAGTCCAGTGTTGGCAGTTGCCATCGAACAATTTGTAAATTTATTGGATTTCTTCAAAGGGAACAAGCATTACAACAAATTCACTGCACTCAAATTCTGGCCGGTCATCCACCACAAACTCCAAGAAAAAAGTATACCGATTCAAATTCCCGGATTCTTACCATCGTTTGCAGCTACCGTGGTAGCAATGTTATGAACTATTTACGTGCGATAGCATACATCCTTTCGTTTTGATCTAAAATAATAATTTAATATAGTTTTGAGTAAATATGGAATGACGAAATTTAAAGAATTGTACTTTGTCCGGGAGTTACCCTGGCGATGCATCATATAGTGGCTAACTTCAATTTTGGATTATTCTCTCTCGCCAAAGCCGAAAAACCACTAATATAATCCAACATAGCTGGACCTCCATCAACATACACAGCAATGCAGTTCTATCGCTTTAAATTAACGTCATTAAAGTATTCATTAGCTTTATTAAAGACATCAATTTCACGAGATAGCAACTCGAGAGGAGAACAAAACAACAGTTCCTCTTCAGCTACATGTAGACTTTTGTAGCGAACATACACTATCAGGTGCGAATTACTACTGACATCTGTAGTCTCATCACACTAAATAGCATAACATTTACTCTGTTTTATTGAAGAAATAACTTGTTACCTCACATTTTGTGCCAAAAATAGAAATTCTTTCGCAAAGTTTGCTTACAAGGGCACTGAATTTAGTGGCTTCATGGCTTCTTCCTGACCACGTAATCTCCGCCATTTTCAAAGCTGCTGGTTTAACCAAATCCTCGCCAATAGTATATGGTTTCTTGTTTCGGACAGTCAACCAGGCCACTTCAAAACTAGCCTTTGATGCTAAAAGTTGATCGAAGGTACCTCTCACGTTGCTGTCCAGTCTTTGTCTTTTGACAGACAATTCCAAATTTACAAAGTATTCACGCAGTTTGGATGTGGGTGTAAATTATCCAAGTGTTTCTTCAGTTGACTCTTTGAAAGATTCTGCAGTCAGTACTTTCAAACAGACAACACACTGTGATTTCGTTATTCTTTTCTCTTCTATTCGTCTAAACCCATAGTTGAGGACTCTTCTTGGTATATTCTTTTCCTGGTTGATGTAATCTGAACAGTAAAATTGACAGTGATTGAAAAAGTTGACCCTTCAGCACACGCATTTTTTATAGTTATACGAGGACACGCGTAGAGTGGAGAAAACCTCCGCTTTTAGATTATAAGTCAGTAAGTACTGTATAATCAGAGAACTCTTTTTGCAGATTGAAAATAATAAAACTTTGTAGAGATTATTTTACTTTAAATTATGATAAAAAAATTTTTTCGATACAAAAAAAAACTAAAAATACTTTGGCTCTCCAATATGGGCACTTTCAGGCCAAACACGTTCAACACATTTTTTGTGTGCTTTCTACAAATATATTTACTGCTTTTGAAGCACGGCAATTTCGTTTGGCGATTCTTTATCCTGTCAAAAAGACGAGATCTTTCTTTAGTTGTCTTTTTGCATAGATAGTAGAGCAGGAACACCTACTATTTGAAAAGTGCGGAGGATTGCTCCGCGTGCTCGAGGATTAAATGGCCCCCTCGTTAAATTTTCAAATTACGGCTTTTGATTTTATTAATAGTAAAATCTTGTCAACAAGATCGTCGAAAATTTTGAGCATAACATGAAACAGCAGGCGACTAGACCAAGATAACTCATACCAGACAAGACTTTAGGTTTTGCCGGCTTCCGAGCCACTGGCCACTACTAACAACAATTACACTGGCCAGATGCGTCGTTGCTCTCAGTAGAAAAACGCATCTATACTCATATTGCATATGTACCATAACACGAAATTTTACCGACTCAGTGTGACACGATCAAACTACTGCTGCTAAACATTAATGATTGTCTTTTTCATCAAAATATTTGTTTTGCTTACTTAACAAATAATGAACGAATGAATGAATTTATTAATAAAGCACTATCTAACCTTGATCGTCGAAATTTTCGAGCATAAGATAAAACAGTAGGTGACTGGGCCAAAATCACGTATACAAGACATTCGCTTCTGCTGGCTGCCGAGCCACAACTAACCATAACGTCCACAACATGTTGGGTGCGTTTCTCTGTAGACGTGTTTAGTGATGACGTCACGCCGCTATGATGGACTGTAAATAATTTCCCTTGCAACTATTGTTACGGATGGTTGTATGCGAATCTAAAAATTCTGCCGGCGTTTCAAATTTTTAAAGTTTATTTAAATTTACAATAATTTAATTGGTAAAGGTGGCACTAAGACATGTCCTCAAGGTAAAGGCAGTATTTAATTATTTTATTGACCATGGAAAATTAATCGAGAAAGGAGAAAATATGTTAATGATATTATCGAATTAACATACAACTAAAACATGGTTCATAAATGAAAATCTTAGACTTAAAATGGAATTACTGAATTAAATTAAACAACTACTTAAATCGACTGAAACAAGGCAAAAGCACGTGTCAGAAATAAGGTTAAAGCGTGTAATAGACAACTGACATAATATTTGTTTAACTACTTGACAACGCCTTAGCAATCAAACTGTCTAGAGTTCGACATGGCGTGACGTTTCTTAAACACGTCTATTAAACTGGTCAGATGCACTGTTGCCAGAAAAAAATTTCTGTCGTAACAAGAAACATGCTTTTTATGTTTTATTTATATCTTTTGAGTTCTCATTACCCTCCAAAAATTTCATTTTTATCCTACGGGGTAATTTACCTCTGTTCGCCGACCCCTGTAGTAGTAGCCTTGTCTTTGCTTTTACCAGGAATCGGGCAACCCCGGAGTTCCTTGGACAACGTTCTTAACTGCAGCAGAAAGTTGGCTCTTCCTGTTCAGACCTTTTTCATGTGAACGAGTTCATTTTAACAGACTGTGCTTTCGACTGTTTGTTTGAAGGTGATTAGAAAAGGCTGAGGTGGTAACAGTCTAATGCGATATACACTAAATTTAAAAATCTGAGTTTTGTAGTTATTATTATTTACACCTTAACTCACAGGCGTAAAGCCAGCTGATATTAGCACTTTAATTGGAAGAGTCTAGCATTGTTTATATTGAGAACAGATTGAATGTACATCAGAGTTTGTCTGAAGATTGAGTAATGTTTGTGCCTTGGTGCTCATACTGAAAACTGAAAAATGCGTAAAAACGGTTTATTTATACAAAGTAAGAATTTGGTCATTTGAATGATACTGAAGTTTAGGCTCGTCTTTCATGAGCCTTCGTCAGTCCGGGTTAGTTTTATGGCCCGCAGCTGTTGTGGTGTTTGAAGCTGAAGGATGCGCGTTTGGCCCATGCTGCTGGTAAAGTAATTTCTGGGTCACGGACTTGGTAAAGTCTGTCCAATCCGCATACCGCATTCCAGCCGCATGCCACACAACCAATTGCAGAAACCATTCTGAGGGTTTCGAAGAGACTAGCCGAAACGTTGGCACTGGTCAGTCATCCGACTGATTCATTCATTTGTTTGCATTGTGTATAAATAGCTTTTATGGTTTTTTTCAGTCTTCATCAAAGCTTGTTGCTAATAAGTCATTTTCTGTTTGTCTTTGACCTAATTTTTCAAGAACATTAAGTAAACATGTCAAAACGTAAAGACTAAGGCGTTGGCTACACAGACGAAAGGTCAATTTCTTATCGCTTTCTGTCTGTAAAGAAAATGTACGATATTTAACTGTGATACTTCCTGTATGCAAGCTCAGTTGTGAATGAAATGTTTCATATGCTGTACATTATACATATGCTTAAGCCTCAATTCACTGTCGTATCCGCAGACAACAAGGACTGTGTGTAAGCTTCAGTACCGTAAACATGCGCGGCTAAGTTCGTAATTCCTTTCCTAAATTTCCCAAGGTGGAATGGCATATTTTCAACTCTTGTAGCGGCAGGAGAATAAATCAAATTTACAGAAAACAATACAAATACAAATTTATATGAGGAACTGCAAAAATGGCTGAATGTTAATGTAGCTTTCAAAAAGTCTTGATAACATCGTTTATACCACTACTAGGTTCGAAAAACAATATTCAACTACTGACGCGAGCAGGCATTTTCCTCTTTTTAGAAAATCTGCATTAGAAGTGAGTCACGAACTTGTCATTCACTAGTTAACACTAAATTCAACACGTTTTATACTAAAGATGATTTTATCTGCTGTCATTTTGAAAGTTTTCTATGGTGCAAAGGTGAAAACTGGTGTGTAAAAGTCTTAAAATGCTATCTCTGTGCTGCTGGAAAAGTGTTCAATTAAAGTTAGTTTATTTTTTGAATAGACAATAAAACATGAACCGGCAAAATTTATTTGTTCAACATTCATCTTAATATTAATAATTATGTTTCTTCACTAGTTACTTCGAAGTTATGACAAAAAATGAAAGAAAGAAACAGATTCGCGAGTTGCTGTAATTAAGAAATGCCCCTACTTGAACAAAATCGAACTAATGCCGGGTGCACGAAAGAAAAACACTGCGCAGAGAACTACAAAAGTTAGGAAACCTGTAAGACCTACTGCCCCCGAATCGTGCTGAGGATATGTTTACAAATTTTATGCAGAGGCTACAGAACTGTAAAGTACGGGTCTTCATTTTTATGAATATGTATATGAAGTCGCTCAGGAACCCACCCATCCGTGGGTAAAACGAAGATGATGTTATTCTGCAAAATGGGCTTTTACAACAGAAGCAAATAAAAATAGTCGTAGAACTAGTTTATTTAGAAAACAGATTGCCAAATGTCTTCCTCGACGACTTTTTCGCTTCCTCTTCTAACTTTTTGACGTTTTGCATTTCTGTCGAAATAGCTGAACCAAGGCTGGCATTCAATGATAAAAGCTTCCTGAAATCTTGTTTAGCCTCTTCCAGGTTCCACGTTCCTGCTAAAGCCTTTCCATGACGAAACAGAGCCTTTTGGTTTCTCGGA